GAGAGAGAGAGAGAGAGAGAGAGAGAGAGAGAGAGAGAGGGAGAGAGGGAGAGAGGGAGAGAGACTTGTGATCGTGATAATTAGAGAGTTGGCATAGTGGTAGTGGTGGGACCCACTGTTGTGTATAAACGTTGGTTTGAAAAATGTCTGAATTACCCTTAACGAGTATAAAAATTTGACTTTTTTTTAATCGTTAGATGATAAGATTTAATGGCTAAGATTTATTCTGATTTCTTTATCTGAGAACTATTCTCACTGAAACTCAACCTTCTAGTCACAAGAGTACTAGATACGTAAAAAATAAAATGGGATGCTTTTGTAAATGGATCGGTTAGTACTTTTCATCCTCCTCCACCTCCTCGTAAAAAAATATTTTTGGTGACACAAAAATCTACCACCAGAAAGAGGTTAGTTGTGAAGAAAACTACAATCCCTACAAAGGGAAAAAAAGGATGCCCTTAATATTTAAAGATGTCGAGCTCGGTATTTTAACGTAGATATGTATCATACGAAGAGCAAAAAAAATAATAATAAAATAAAATAAAAATTTGGGAGCTCAGGTAAGTTGGCATACAAATTACCAAAGCCTGAACATGCTTGGATACAAAATTTCTAAAAAAATCCAAACATTTTTAACTCAACAACTTTTTTTTAACTCAACTTTAACTCAACCCCACTGTCATCAATATTATCAATATAATTAAATAACATCAATCAATCATTCTTACACATCACATTACCTTAATTCACTATTTATCCACTCACATAATTTAACTAACCATCACTTCAAATCTTCTCTCTCATACTTTACATCAAATCAACTTTAATCATTTTATTTTAAAAATTATTTTAATATACCCACTAACAACTAATCATACTAACTTTTTCAAATCTAACCAAACCAAACGAAAAAAATTCAAACAAAACCAAAAATTTTTATATCCAATTGAAAATGATTTTTTTATTCACCAAATAGTTGTTCTCGAACAAAAATAAAATTGTGCACATATTTTTTCTGACTCAGTTCACTATTCACCTAATCCAACCTAACTATCGTCAATATTATCAATGTAATTAAATAATATCAATCAATATTATTTCTCATTTTTCATCAAAATTCACCATTCATCCACTCACACATTTTCAACTACAATCATTTGCAATTATTATTTTACTAATTTTATATCACATCAGTTTTAGTTATCACATTTTAACTCATATCAAGTTACAAACTCCAAATTAAATAAAAAATTTCCACTAAATCAGTTTATTCCACTCTCAACTTATTTAATCCAACATTGTTTTTTCCTCCTTGCATTGAGGCCGCAAAATCAACTTGGATGAGCGGTGTCCAGTAACTCAAAGCATGGTAAAAAAATAATTCTGAAAATAACTGAAAAACA